TTTTTTTTTACAAGAATTTTAGAGGTTTTTTCCATTCATGGGAAAAATCAGAAATTTGACCAATTAGTAATATTAAGTGGGCCATGACATTAATGGTTTAAATCTAGGCATAAGACACTATGATCAGGACAATGATCCAAATTACCCAAATAATGTGGGGCACTTATAGAAAAATTCATAATTGTAGCCAAATAGGACAGTATTACGATAGGAATTGACTAGGAATACTACTATACTAGAACTAGCTGCCAAACAGCATACAAAACTTCATTTACGTTTTATAATTTCTCTTGTTTTAGCTGTCCTAAATTACATGTATGAGTCCTTTTCAATACTTTAGATATTAAATAGAATTGTAAGAAATCAAGTCAATTTGGGTCAAGGATTTATTATATTGCAATATTGCATGACCTTGCCACCTTATATATACGAAGATGCATTGCTCATAAAGTCATAATATTTAAATGATTATATTATTTCTTAACGTATGATTGGATTGAGAATAATAATGTATTAGTAGGGTAATAAAAGTCAAACTAAAGAAAATGAAAGTAAATAATCAAAAGGAAAGATATATGAGATAGTGATGGTGTAATTCTAAAGGAGGATTATGTAGTGATGTTATGGTGACTACTAACCGGTGAGAGGTGAAGAAAATAAAATTATTACTTTCGTTTTGGGGATCCGATGATAATTATCGGAGGGCAAAGTGAGGGTAATACCTTCATCTCTTTCTTTTCCTCATGTTACAATTGCCTTATTTTAGTTGTAAACACCCTATCTCAAATAACATCACCTCTAAGTACTTTATATATATTTTCTCGGCTATTTTGACTTTTATATTCTTTTAATTTACTACCTCCAATCCAAGCATGATCTTAAATTTTCTCCAAACCTGGCCATAGCTCAACCTTAGCTAGACGTTATGAAGTACATTCATAAGTAGTGCGAAGGTAATCATCTGTATCGAACAATAATATGAATATATAAAGTACAATATAGTTTGGAATTACCATGCCTCTTATGGAATACATTTGTAGGAGTACACATTTCTAGCCATCCAAAAATACTTGTTTCATTCATTTTTAGTTGTTACGGTGTATGTTTCCATTTATACATTTGTCAATAAATGCATGCATAATTACAACCACTATTCATTTAATTAATCACTAATAATAATATCTCATATGATTGTACACTTAATTAAGAATACATCACCAATGACAATAAGTTAAAGTAAGGTGTGTAAACAGAAGAATACATCACCAATGATAATAAGTTAAAATAAAATGTATAAACAGTGTAAAAATTAAAGCGTTGTAACCCATAATTAAACAAAGGAAGTAATACAATTATACAATGGTTGAATTTTCAACAGTAGGCCAGGGATCGGATATGGGATGTGGGGAAAATTCATAAGAGTAATAAAGAAAAAATAATAAAGACGAAAAAAGGTGTAATTAATAATGGGGGCAACGAAAATAAGCTGGCAAGAATGAGAGTGATGTGTCAATTGAAGATTTGTTGGTATTTTGCTACTTGCATTTTGCAGATCCATCAATTTAATTATTATGTCTTTGATTTTATGTATGCATGTGAAATTAATGAGGATGAAGAGATAGATATCAATGTACTTCTCATCCATAAGCTCTTCTTTGTTAAGCTACGACAACAACTGTGATACCAATTTATCAGGTGATTGTATTTATATTTATAGTACCCCTATCATTTTGGTTTCCAATATTATTCATATCCAACTCAATTTCATTGAACAATGTCTCACCTTAAAATTTTAATAAGCCTAAACTAGAAAAACTCGAACTTGACTCAAAATATAACTATTTGTCCTAAATTCCTTATACTCTCTTGATTGACGTTGATTCAAGACGAATACTTATATCACGCCAAACTAAACTTGATTCTGTAATTGGTAAACATATGCTAAACAACTCTAATATGGCATGACCCAAAAAGATTTAAACAGATGGCACCGTTTATAAGTCTTATATATTTAGTACAAAGCACCTAATTAGCATTATTTGTACCAAGTATTGAATTTAAACATTTCCAAACTACGGAATTGGCTTATGGTAGAAATGAACAAATGGGCTTATGCTCACTATCCAATGAAGAGGAGTCATCATACATGGATAAAAAGTTTACAAACCTAAAAGAAATTTAATCCAGTAATTGATATTAGAGATCAAGTTGAACTATTAGAATAATAGTTTATTGGACGCTATATCAACCAGATGATTAAATTAAAGGCCATTCTTAATCTAATTCCATCAGAGTATCGAACATCTTAAATGAGGATCTACAGATGACAAATAAGATTTACTATTCACTTTTAGAAGTTTTTCTTAAAAATCCTTACTAAATAAAAGTCTTTTATTAACCGATTACGAAGAACCCAAAGTTCCTTAAATGAATTATTCACAATCTATCAATCATACAATTAGCGGAATCACGGGATTTACTTACGCTCGTGCATTTTACGTTACATCTTTTTTCCCTTTCCATAAATAGTATCCTTACCACTGACGTTTTTGCTTAAAATATTATGGAGTATCTTTTAATAAATAAGAATATAATTGCTATTTTAAGTAAGTAATCTTATCAAGGTTGATTCACTGTATATGTCAAAGCCAAGTCCACGTCTACATTTGATCTATCTCCTGCAACCCAAGTCCGTTACGTGTCTGCCCTAAGCCCCTAATTATATAATTAATATTATTGAATTAATCAATAATTATATGATATATGTATTTTTTTTTTATTGGATTGCAGCAAAAATCTAACTGTAATTGTGGTTGTGTGGCACATGCATCATGCCAAGATGTACCAAGTTATACCCAAATTAATCAATAATAATAATAATAATAATAATAATAATAATAATAATAATAATAATAATAATAATAATAATAATAATAATCTAGGTTGTTTAACTTCGTACCTGGTCGTGTTGTGTCAGTTGCAGCTTAGCGGAAGCGGGACAAGTATAAGGGCGCGTTGCAGGGTTATTGGCTATGATTTTCTTCCTTTCTCATTTTCTTCATTGGGGGAATTAGAGAAGAAGACTGTTGCGTTGCTGAAGGGGGTTCAGGCGTTCGCTAGGACTCATGATATTGACGTGCAACTGCTCACATCTTCAGCAGGATCGGGTTCGTTATAGCTAGAGGGGTGGGGGCCCAGATTGTATCTTGACTTCCCACTAATTTCTTATAAGGTTTTTCAGACTCATTCGAAAGATAAGGTTTTATTTGTGTTTAATTTAATCTCCGGTTGTGCCGGGCTACGATTGATTATGGCTCGAATTCGGGTTACGGAATCAGCACAAGAATTTACTTTCTCACAAAATTGCGAAGTGACGACGGATTCACTCAAAAAGTTGTATGAGACAACGAATCGAGAATGTGCCGAATTGTTGTATTTATGTATTTGGATTCTTAGCCCTATCCCGATTATTCTTGTTTGATTTTGTTGAATTTTGTTTTCATTATCGTTAATTGTAGATGTCATATGACTTTAATTAATGAAATTTAGTGTCTTTTAAAACTTCTTTAAAAAATAATAATGATAATAATAATAATAGTAGTAGTCGTCGTCATCGAGACTGGATGTGTATTTAATAGATATGAATGTCCTGTAAAAAAAATAGATATAAACGTCTTGTATATTACTGTTTATTAAATCATCAACATGTCAATCATTTGTAGAATTGACTTTCATACGTAGTACTGCGTATAATTTTTGTTGTGAATCTTGTGTGATGTATACAAGTTTTTGCTAAAGTACTTGCTTTGCCTTAAAAAATAGTAGCCTTTTTAATTGTTTATGGATCAGAATAAATCATTACACATCCAAAATAAATATGTGAATTCGAGGCTCACAGAAATGCTTTATTCTTTATTTATTTTTAATCGGGTATTGCATAAATTATCATACTAATAAATCTTAACTCTTACCAAATAAAAAATTGTTGTCTGATATGAAAGAAAAATTCAAAATTATCCTACTTATTTTGTACCACCAAACAGCAAAGGTAACTTTGCCCCAATAAAATACGTAGTAAATCACAGTCGGATGGAATAAAGGAAAATAAATAAATTATAAAAGCTTAATTAGAATGGGGTAGGCAAGAGATTAGGCTAATGTTCCATCTCATGCCTTGGAATGTAACTTTGATGATAAGCACACCTGATGAACTGGTTTTGGCTAGCTAATTAGGCTGCTAGGTTCGTAATTAAGGACAATTAAAAGCTTAGGAATCGATATTATTTATCAAAATTCCCAAATATACTGTAAATTGTGATAGTAATTGAGCTATGCTTAACCATAAGAACTGGAATTAGGAAGCAATCTCACGACCCTAATGATTGAACCTCGCAAGGTAAATGATCCGCACGTTGTTGGTGCAGTGGTGATTGGGGTTGCACTTGGTAGGGAGAACCGCATGTTCGATTCCCCGCAATAACAATGGGGAGGGGACTTGAACCTAACCACCCAAAACTGAGCCCCGAATCCGAATTAGCCCAAAAGGTGAATTGGATGGAACGCCAAAAAAAAAAAAAAAAAAAGGTCCATACTCACTTAAATAATAAAAAATAAATAAGGTTAACACAATAGCTCAACAGCCTAAAAGATCAAAGATACAACTAAGTTATACGGAGTAAAGAGTTGGCTCGCATCAAGAGTTGGGTAATCACTGGGCCTTAAACACATATTTTAAGCTGTTATAAAGAAGCCCACTTCTGCAAATGGCCAAAAACATGTTGGGTTTGGATTGTTAGGTAGCCCTTGCGTTTTGCCAAACGAGATCTTGCTAATACAAAACTAACAACAATCAAAATTAGTCTATGGTGAGCTAATTGATGTAGTGCATTAATCTAGTTTATGTCATTCATACAAAATAATTTGTCAAGGGCCAGATTAAAGAATCTAAGGATCACTTTCAAAATCAAAAGAATAAACAGATGGTTAGAGTTTTAAAATTGATTAAATGTTCTACCAAAATTAGATAAAGCGAGATGTGGTATGTCATTCCAAATTAAGAAAATACAATAATTTGTGTATGCGTAGTTCCTTTCCAAAATCGAAAACAACTTGCAAAGGTAACAATCATTGTTACCATCTCTCCCCTGCAAGGCTACAACTCTTTCTACTTCCTTCGTTCCTTTAATATTGTAAAGTTGTAAATTACAAAAATATCATTAATAACATGAAGAACATGTGGATCATCTGATATGTTGATCCAAACGGCCATATTGCCTCTTTGTTCTTATTTTAGACTTGGTTTTCATTGGAAAAAGTTTGGACAAAATTAACTTAATAAAATACACACTTAGAACAGGGGAAGGGAAGAACTTGATGTATAGCTAGCTAAAAATGATCAATGTACTGCTATATAACAAGTATTAAGCTAACAATCTTACACTAATTTATTATAAGTACAAAATATAGCTAGAACACCCGATAAAGGAACAATTCACCACTACAAATTAAAAAAAAGTCACCCTATCTCACAAAAAAAAAAAAAAAATATTGTAACATAATTTGATGCGATATTTTTCCCATAATGCATTTCCTATGTAAAATATTTACAACGGTCTTTGATACATGACCATTGCCTTCAAAGCCCCTAAAACAATAAGTTTATTTACTTATTATATCATAATTAGAGCTTATAAATCTTCTAAATTTCAAGTTCTGCAATTGCCTTTTCTAATTCCTTATCAATGGGGACATTATAACCAAAAACCATAGAATAATCATCTATTTCGTCCGATGAACTCTTTTGAACACCCCATATTCGAGCAATTTCAGAATCTTGACCTTCCGATAACAATTTCAACACCTACACACATACGCAACATAACCAAATTAAGATTTGACGGGAAAAGAAAAGAAAGGAAATGACTTATATCATGTTATCGCGTAATTTAATTGGTTTTTAACCTTAGGGATTTAATGTATTATAGTTTAATTTACCTCATTCATCGACGGACGCCATGTAGAGGAATGTCTCACACAACAAGAAGCTGTAAGTACAATTTTGTGTAATTGTTCCGTATCATATTCACCCTTTAGTCTTGTATCAACTAGCTCTGAGATTTTCCCATTCTCCATTAATGGCATAGCCTACAATATTATAGAGACACAATCGTAAAGTAATAATAAATTAAAAAAAAAACTTTGGATTTAACAAACCAACAAATCATGTTTGACAATTAATTTAACGTAGACTAATTCACTTAGCTTGTTTGAATAATTAACAACGTTAGCAAGTTCTATATATTGACTTTTAAAGTGAGTAGACGAAATTAGTTGTTACTCACATGCATAATAATAACATATTTACCATATTATAGGGAAAACAATCAAAAAAAAAATCACTCTAGTGGAAACTTTTTATTTTGGCAAAAAACTTTCACCAAACATGTTATTCTCCGATTTACACTAATGAAACAAAAACAAGTAAAATTCAAAAGACATTATAAACCCGCAAAAAGCTAATTACCAAACATTAAGCAAAACCATTGCAATGGTTAGTGTTAATAATCATCTATGCTTAATTAGTAAAATATAATTATGCTTGATTATAATTACCCATAATAGAAGACTTTGTGTGGAAGAATCAATAGGTCTTCGACCGGTAATAATCTCAAGAAGAAGAATGCCAAATGCAAAAACATCGGTCTTCTCATCCACAATTCCATGCAAGAAATATTCTGGTGCTAAGTATCCAAATGTCCCTTCTATTGGTAAAAATGCATTTTGGTAACTTGATTTATTGCTAGGGACCCACTTTGCTAGTCCAAAATCTGTAATCTACATAACCAAATAAATAAATAAATAAATAAAAATAAAAATAAAGACATGATTAGTATATTGTATTTATTATAAAACTTTGCTTAATAAACAATTTAAATTGTGGTTGGTAGTATAATCTTACTTGTGGCTCATAATCTGGTCCAAGAAGGATGTTGGAAGCTTTGATATCACGGTGAATGATCCGATGTTTGCAACACTTGTGCAAATAATGGAGTCCTTTTGCTATACCTATTGCTATTTTGTATCGCACTGCCCATTCTAGTGACTTGCTTTCGTCACCTAGTAAAAAGAAAAAAAAACCTTAAAAAAGCATCTAAAAATAGTTGTCACATGTCTTAATAAAGTCGTAATCTTGCAAAAATCATTGATTTTTTTAAATATGTTATCCCTCTAACAAAAGTATACTACAATAGTTAAATCGTGGTTGTATGACATGTGTTGTGCGACAGCGGAAGCAAAGGTCGAAAACAAACAAGAAAACAATAAAGAAATTCAATGCAAACAATAAGAACAACACCAAGAATTTACGTGGTTCACTATCGATGTGATAGCTACGTCCACGGGCACCGAGATCGAATGATTTCACTATAAACTGCAAAGATTACAAAGATGATTCTTGTATTTCTCAAGAACGGCTCTCCCTCTCTCTCTCTTAACCCTTATACTAATATTAGGGAGGTTTTATATTAATCCCTAAAATAAAAGATACTTGGGCAAAAAGATAACATAAAAGATAACTTTAAATCGTAAAATCCGCGTCTCCGCATTTTTCCTTCTCCGCCCGGTCAGACCGGGCAAGGTCTGCCCGATCGGGCGCGAGAAGAAAACTCCATACGAATGCTTCAACGTATCCAACCCCCACCGCCCGGTCAGACCGGGCAATGTCCGCCCGATCGGGCGGACAAAGCTACGAAGTACGAGTCACCTAATACTTATCAACAATCTCCACCTTGACGAGAACTCGTAGTCAGCAAACGACCCCATCAAGACATAGTGGAAAAACATCTCAAGCCAAACCCGATGCAAGACTCATGCATAAGCCATACATCCCGATAAGTCTTCAACCAAGACCCATCACATACTCGTCTCCAAGTATAACAACTCATAATGCTCCACCTGCATCACAAGCCCCGGGCAAGCTCCACCTTAAGGCCAACACACCTACACCAGGAGCTCCCCAACTTCGCCCCTCAGGGCCTACTACATCACGTAGTAATCAATATTTAGCAAGTCTAAGCAATGTTTAAACTTGCTAAACGGAACAGGCTTAGTGAAGAAATCAGCCGGGTTGTCAGCAGTCCCAATCTTCTTCACCTTAATCCTCTTGTCAGTACGCAAGAAATGATACCTGACATCAATGTGCTTCGTCCGATCATGGTGTACTTGATCTTTAGCTAAGCAAATCACACTTAGACTATCACAATACACTGTAGCAAAATCCTGTGCAATACCCAGTTCACCTACTAGGCCTTTGAGCCAAATAGACTCCTTAGCTGCAGAAGTTAAAGCCATATACTCAGCTTCAGTAGTTGACAACGTAACTGATGACTGCAATGTAGACTTCCAACTAACCACAGAACCACCCAAAGTGAACACATAACCAGTCACAGACCTCCTGGTATCCACATCAGCTGCATAATCAGAATCACTGTACCCAGTGACCAAGCATTCCCTACCATTCCCGTACACAAGACCAATATCAGTTGTCCCTCTCAGGTAGCGAAAAATCCTTTTCACCCCTTGCCAGTGTTCCCTCCCAGGTCGAGCCATAAACCTGCTTACAACACTAACAGCATGCGCAATATCCGGCCTAGTACAGACCATAGCATACATCAAACAACCAACCGCATTTGCATATGGAACTCTAGACATATAAGACAACTCCTCCTCTGATTGAGGTGACATAGACAAAGACAACTTACAACTAACAGTAGTTGGCGTACTTATAGGCTTCGATTTTTCCATCCCAAAACGAGACAAAATCTTTTCAATGTAGCTTTTCTGAGTCAAGAAAAGCTTACCTCTAGCCCGATCCCTGTAGATCTCCATACCCAAAATCTTCCTAGCTGCACCCAAGTCTTTCATGTCAAACTCCGAGTTAAGCATCTCCTTTAATCTAGCAATATCAGATTTATTCTTTGTGGCAACCAACATGTCATCAACATATAACAAAAGATAAATCATGGAACCATTATCCAGCTTACTATGATACACACAGCAATCATATGAATTCCTGTCAAAACCTTGTGAAACCATAAAAGAATCAAACCTTTTGTACCACTGTCGGGGGATTGCTTAAGTCCATACAATGACTTTAGCAATCTGCAGGCATAGTGTTCCTTTCCAGGAACTTCGAATCCTTCGGGCTGCTTCATCAGAATCTCCTCCTCCAAATCGCCATGAAGGAAAGCCGTTTTAACATCCAACTGCTCCAGCTCAAGATCAAAATGTGCTACAATTGACAATAACACACGGATAGAAGTATGTCGAACCACAGGTGAGAATATCTCAACAAAATCAACCCCTTCTACCTGACTGAACCCCTTAGCAACTAGCCTAGCCTTAAAACGTATTTGCTCAGTTTCCGACAACCCTTCTTTCTTCTTGTAAATCCATTTACAACCCACAAGCTTCCTCCCTTCCGGTACTTTTACCAGTTCCCACACTCTGTTCTTGTAAAGAGACTGCATCTCTTCACCCATTGCGGCAAGCCATTGCGCAGACTCACTACAACTAATTGCTTGTTTATATGTGGCAGGTTCAAATGACTCTACATCATCAGCTACACTCAATGCATAACCTGTCATCGCATCAACACAGCAATTTCTTCCCTCCATCTCTTCAATCAATCTAACAGGCTTCTTGATAACTCGTTTAGGCATCTCAAGAATGGTGTCAGGTTGACTAGATGACCCCTGATTAGATTGCTCCACCTCATCCCCAGAGTTAGAATGAGTAGGAGTAATCTCAGGTTCAGGAGTACCCGGCACTGGAACATCAGCATCATCATCAATATATTGTACCCGAGGTAAATCAGCAATGGTAGACTGATGTACCTCAAGTACCCCATCTGTCTGTAATAAATTGTCTCCTTCCCTTCTCAAATCTGAAATCTCTGCATTTTTAATTGAATACATGGTGTTTTCATCGAAAGTAACATCCCTACTAAGAATGACCCGACCCTCCGAAGGTGAAAAAATTCTAAACCCCTTCACACCATCCCCGTACCCAACAAAACACCCCTTCTTGGCTCGTGGATCCAGCTTACCCTCAATAACATGATAATAAGCAACACAACCAAAAATCTTCAAATTCGAAAAATTAGGCAACTTACCACTCCAGATCTCAAACGGAATCTTGGAATCAATTCCAGAATGAGGACCCCTATTAATGACATAACAAGCTGTTAACACAGCTTCACTCCAGTACCTCCTCCCAAGCCCTGCATTAGAGAGCATGCATCGAACTCTCTCTAGCAGTGTCTGATTAACCCGTTCTGCTACACCGTTCTGCTGTGGTGTCTTCCTGACAGTATGATGCCGACCTATACCCTCATCTGCACAGAACTGATTAAACTCGTCTTTGCAAAACTCTAGCCCATTGTCCGTTCGTAGCTTCTTGATCTTCCTTCCTTGTCGATTTTCCACCAAAGCTTTCCATTGCTTGAAAACTTTGAAGGCCTCATCCTTTGACTTAAGCAACCTAAGCCATGTGTATCGGGACTTGTCATCAACAAATGACACAAAATAGTGGTAACCTCCCATACCTTCAACTCTAGATGGACCCCAGCAATCTGAATGGATGTAATCGAGCACTGCATCAGTAATGTGAGCACCCTTGCTGAACTTTGACCTGTGTTTCTTACCAAACACACAATGCTCACAAAATTCAAGGTTGGCAACCTTGACCCCGGATAGAAGACCCCTCTTGGACAATAGCTGCATCCCCTTCTCCCCCATATGACCAAGCCTCATGTGCCAAATCTTAGTCATCTCCTGGTGAGATACAGATGCGCAAACCGCAGAACTAGGCAGTGTAACACCCTCAAAAACATAGAGGGTGTTCCTTTTGATACCCTTAAGTACCAACTCAGAACCTCTGAAAATACACAACTCCCCATCTGAAAACACACCATTGTACCCCAAGTCATCCAGGGTACCCAATGAAATCAGATTCTTTCCTAAAGCAGGAACATGCCGTACATTAGTCAAAGTTAACCTCCGCCCATCAACAGTCCTCAACCTCATGGAACCAATACCTGTGACCTTACATGGAGCATTGTTACCGACTATAACCATGCCCCCATTGCGAGGTTCATATGTATCAAACCAATCTCGACGTGGACACATATGGAACGAACACCCTGAATCTAGAACCCAGTTATCAGATAAATCATCAGACCTAGCAGAACTGACTAATGCTAAATCTTCCTCTGAATTATAGCTCTCATTCGGTTTCTCTTCAACTACAGCAGCCTGGGACTTGTTTTTCCTCACCGGACAATTATTCCTAAAGTGACCCGGTTCTTTACAGTAATAACATGTTTTAGTAGTAGTTTTACTAGATCCATCCTTGCCGTTTCCAGCACCCGACCCAGCATTGTTCCCCTTGTTAAACCCCTTATTCTTTTTAGACTTTCCGGACTTAACAAACAACCCACTACCATTATCCCCATTATCACTCGTAGCTTTCATTCTGAGTTCCCTAGTATGAAGTGCTGCCTTCACTTCTTCTAAGGTTATAGAATCCTTACCAACAACAAAAGACTCTACAAAATTCTCAAAGCTAGACGGTAGAGATACAAGTAAAATCAACGCAGCATCCTCATCATCAATTTTAACATCTAAATTACGTAAATCAAGCAAAATAGAGTTAAGTTTTTCTAGATGTTCCCGTAAGGAAGTACCTGACTGCATCCGGAGGCTAAACAACCGCTGTTTCAGTAATAATTTGTTGGTCAACGACTTAGTCATATACAATGACTCCAGCTTCAGCCACAATCCAGCCGCCGTTTCCTGATCAGCCACCTCCGTGATGATTTGATCATCAAGACTAAGTAATATGGTAGAGTGTGCCTTCTCTTCCATAACTTCTAACTGCGGGTCAGTCGGTCCATCTTCTGACTCCGAAGTAGTACTCTTTGGAGCCAACGGACGCCATATCTGCTGTTGTTTTAACAGAGCCTTCATCTTAATTTGCCATAGCCCGAAACTATTTTTCCCGGTAAACTTCTCAATTCTTATTGTTGAATCTCCTGCCATTGTTATCTTCAAGAAACTCTCCAAGGATTGAACCTGAGCTCTTGATACCAATTGTTGTGCGACAGCGGAAGCAAAGGTCGAAAACAAACAAGAAAACAATAAAGAAATTCAATGCAAACAATAAGAACAACACCAAGAATTTACGTGGTTCACTATCGATGTGATAGCTACGTCCACGGGCACCGAGATCGAATGATTTCACTATAAACTGCAAAGATTACAAAGATGATTCTTGTATTTCTCAAGAACGGCTCTCCCTCTCTCTCTCTTAACCCTTATACTAATATTAGGGAGGTTTTATATTAATCCCTAAAATAAAAGATACTTGGGCAAAAAGATAACATAAAAGATAACTTTAAATCGTAAAATCCGCGTCTCCGCATTTTTCCTTCTCCGCCCGGTCAGACCGGGCAAGGTCTGCCCGATCGGGCGCGAGAAGAAAACTCCATACGAATGCTTCAACGTATCCAACCCCCACCGCCCGGTCAGACCGGGCAATGTCCGCCCGATCGGGCGGACAAAGCTACGAAGTACGAGTCACCTAATACTTATCAACAACATGTATCTTAGTTATAATGAGTTTAGACAACGTGACAATCAAAGAGTTAAAAGGTGAAATTACCGTGAAGAGCATCGAAGAGGTTGCCATTAGAAGAGAAAGGGAAAATGAGATAGAGACCATTTTCGATGCAGTAACCAATTAAGGAAGCCGTGTTAGGATGAGAAACTTGAGTAATAATACCCAATTCAATAAGAAATTCCTTCTCTTTTTGTGGATTAGTGTTGTCTTTGGCTAATCTCTTCACTGCTATGCTCTTTCCATCTTGCATATCTCCTCTATATACCTCCGAATATCCACCTTGTCCTATCATTTTATCTGCATCAATTTTTAACGACCCAATATTAGAAACTATTTAAACTTTAGTAAACATATATATATCGCATATATATAATAATACAGATTTATTATGTCGGATAGTTTTCAATGAAATATGGATCTAATATACGCAGTAATTTTCTCGTAGCATGCATGCATCCTAAGTAGTCTAATATGGAGTATAAATTAAAGGTTGGTTTTTTTTGAAAAATTGTCATCATTATTAAGAAAATTTCTTTAATTCAATACTATAAAGAAACCTACTTTGTATTAAACCAATATATATATTAATTTAATGTGAATTCGATATAGATGTTAATTTAACCCTGTCTCTTTAGGTCTATTATTCTTAAATTTTAACGTTAATTGTTAGAATATAGGCAAAATTAAAATACCGATTATCAACCAACATTACATTATTTCAAAATCAATGATCTAATTATTGAATGGAAAAAATTTAATTCATGATCATGCGCCCTCTATATCTTATATTGATAGAAAGAAATAAATTTATCGTAGAATTTTTTTTATTTTGTAAATTGGTAATGATGCAAGAAAGAGAAGAGGGTTAGAAGGTTTGAGAAAATCACGAATTTCTGTCATTGCTTGTAACACACACTACCTGTCAACTTGATGTTATTATTGTTTATAAACAACCCTTGTTTATGACACACTCAAATGGACATAAGATTGCATCCAATATACTAGAATGACCAAAACTTAATCCCTTATAAAATTCGTGGGTTTGTGATGTATGCAACTTTAATGGAAACCGATAAACTACGTATAAACAACTAGTTCGTTTGTTCTAAATTGGTATTAGCTAAAAAATTTATGACAAAATTATGTGTTGATTGATATTAATTGTTTTTGTTCATAATGCTTGATCTCTATTCTTTTTAGCGTTTTATGCAATTTTTTTTAAAAGAAAAAAAAAACCATAAATTAAAGGTTTTTGTTAGTATATTATGGTATAATTTAGAGGCCTTAGTGGTAGATTAAGACATTAATTGACCTTTTGCTAAAGTGTACACGGAGATTTCTATTTTTTAATATAGTGGTCAATGTTTATAGATGTCGGTAACATATTAAATTAATGTACCATGAAAAAAGAATGCACCACGTCCTAATGGATCCATTTTTGTTGTAATAATGATGCATTATTTTTCTTAAGGTACAATAGGAGACCCTTAAGCATCTAAAATGATGAAGACATTCTTGCCAATGATGATAAATGTCCTTTGATACTACTTTGAGAGGTACGTACGTAGCATATATATTTTGTGTATTGCCACTATTAGTTAGTGTGACATGCATTCGTGTTTTATAAAAATCGATAATTCTTACAGAGCGTGATACAATTGTATGTCATAAATTATATCAAGTGATTCAAAATCATCACCAAGTTATTTTTTTAATAAGAGTACGTATTAATTGATTCAAATTTTTATAGTTCTTTTTCCTAAAAACGTTCATATTTGAGGGTATAGCATATAGTAGTATCATATAAGATACGATAATCCTAATCATGTACAAAGTAATAATTATTCTGACTTGCTAAGCCAAATATAAGAAAATAAAAAACTGAACGATTTAACAAAAAATAATTGCTTAAGAAGAGAAAAGGCTAAATTGATCTATCATTTTACCTGGATGAAAATCTTTGGTAGCTTGCGAGATCTCATCATAGCTAAAGTATTTTAAAGAAGGTTGTGGGAGCTTTTCTACTCCACCAATGCTACATTTCTCATTATTTCTTCTCCTTCCACTTGACGTGTTCTTCAAGAAAAATGACGCTACGCGTCTCAAAGGGGACTCCTTATACTTGGTCGTTGTTGTTGTCGTCGTTGTTTTTGTTTTTGTTTTTACTGTTGTTGTTGTCGTTGGTGGTGGTGGTGGTGATACTGGTAAAGATGATTCGGAGTTGCTACTCGAATCATCAAAACTAGAGTTATCATCTTCGGTACTAGGAGCACTTTCCCCGTCAACACCATTCAAAACTGTCCTAGGAGACTTCTCTTCTAATGTACCTTCCATTAAGATTGATGATGAATCCAATGTTGCTTCATTTTCTAGTTGCTCAATTGAGATAATTGAGCATCCTTTTGGTGCATATTTCATGCAATACTTTGTAATTTCCCCTGCTGTTCTGTTCATTGTAGAATCCAAAATTTTATTAGTAACATAGATGATATAAATATGATACCGCGTATGTGAATAAATAATATTTCTCCCATCCAGCTGATTCACAACTATCATATTGTCCGACCTTCTCATAACAAAGTATATGAAATCACTTCCCTAAAAAAAACATCCTTTACCAAAATAGTCTTTTACAAAAGTACATTATTTCTCACGTCTCACAATGAACCTATATAATTAAAAAGTCCACATAATTGAAAATTTCGAAATCCAATCAAAAACCAGTATTCTGTTAATATGTTTACCTTTTTGGTTCAAGCTTTGATCCTTTGAGAACTAGAAATTCTGCGGTTGTTCTCTTAGCCTCGTCGATTAAACCACTCCCTATACTCGAGCTGTATACAACTCTAGCCTCCAAATGCACCTACAACATATCATTCAACACGATATAATCGAAAATTGGAAAAAGAAACACATGTAGACATGTAGTACATATAGAACAATAATAAAGCCATATCATATTGGATGATTTTAAGCAATTGGCAAAGTATGTACCTGTTTACACTGGCAAGTCTCGGCAAACTCTCCCATGACAGAAAGAACAAAAGATTTAGCTCGGCGAAATCGTCTATAATCTCTTGATTTAGGCACAAGTTTCTTAGGCTCCTTCCCTACTGTTACATATATACATACATTTCATTATAACAAGCTAATAGATCAATTAAACTAATTAAGGAAATTAAACAATATCACATTCAACTAATCCATACAAGTATATTAACAAGATAAGATATCAAATAAAAATTTGCATGAACTCAGCAAATTAACTAAAATAAATGCTTAAAATAAAACTCAAACATAAAATAATGACAAACCTATAACATGTAGTGCTATAATGGTGTCATTGGGATGAGAAAGAATGTTGATAGCCCAAGAAAGAAGATCTTTTGCATCATCAAATTCTAATGAAGTTGCAACTATTATTGTTGCTGGAGCTGTTGAACAAGGGATCATCACAATTTAATTAAAATAATAATGATGAAATTAAACGGTGTTAAATTAAATTTGTTACTTTGATTTCTTTTTGAAATTAACTTGGATTAAAATTATGAGAAGTACACGAGTGGAAAAGAATGAAGTTTGAAATTTTATTTATGTGCATGAAAAAGAGTAGATTAGGTATAGTGGGGAGGAGTGAGACCACCACCTTATTTGCTTGCCTCACTTACTAGTCATTCTTCTCATACAAGCATGTTTTTTTTTTTTTTTCCCCTTCTTTATTTCAAAAAAAAAAAAAAAAAATACTCAATCAATTTCTAAGAATGAATAACTAACAAGAAGGGTTATAACCACTTTTAATGATGATAATCATGTTTGATATAAATGACTAATTTTGGAAGTTTGAATATAGAAGGAAATTGAGTTGTACTTCATGTACAATCATTTTCCTTTCAAGAACTCAAGTAATTGGATTGAAAGTATTCAATATCTTATAGATTTTTTATACTTTAAGAGACATCATATATATGTTGATCATAAAATGAATGAATAAGGATGTATCTTATCTTACTGAAAAATAGAATAGATCAATAGTTGTATGTAATTTATCCGGAAATGTATGCCATATTACATATGTAGAGTTTATGGCTTAACAAGTTTTAGAGAATTTTATATTTCAATTGTAATTGGTGGGAAAAATGTTCAAATAATAAGAGGCTAAAAATGCATATAGGTAGTAAATAATTTTAAAATGAACATTATAAAACTTCAGACCTTATATAAGTATACATTGGTTTCATTCAATAACTACAAAGGTTTCCAAGTAAAAATTAACAAATTTACACCCGCCATGTTATAAAAATTTGTAGAAGGCTAGCCTCTAAGAACATGCACATTGTAGCACATAATAAGATGAGAAGTTCATCAACATGCAATAATGTCCTATATTATGTTTTCCACCAAAATATTCTATAACGTGTAAACATTATAAACCTAATAGTCGTGAATCTAAAAGATGATATAGTTGGCTAGCTAATAAAATATGATCAATTTATATATATATTGGGAGAATGGTTAAGTGTTACAGGTAGGGTGCTTTAAGGGGTAAGCAAAGGTGGTGGGATTACATTGCAATTGCATTTTTATTTATTTGATTATTTTTTCTTGCTATGAAAGCGATAATATTGAGAAAAGCCTCATCTCTTACTGGCTACAAATTATATGTGCGCAATTTTACTATTCTTTTCTAGGGTTTGGTAGAAGAAGAGCAGATTAATGATATGGCACTCAAAGGAATATATAAAAAAAGAAATAAAAATAAACTTTTTTTAAAAGGAAAATAATTTTTTTAATGAATGAACAGTTGGGAATAGAATGTAACTGACGCATATGATGAAGACTTTAGTTAATTAGTTAGATTGAGGGATAAATTAAATAATGAGGGAAGAAATAAAGGGGTGATTTATTTTAGTATGATAAGGTAAATGATTGCTCTTGGAACTTGTTTGTCTTAGACTACATGTTAAGTGTTGCACCAACACATCATCATTATTCTTCTTGTTATTATAATTATTATCATCTATAGATTGCTATTGTTACTATACAGATCGATTTGCCAAATGTTCATATTGGATTCTCTAAGTATTGATATTGAATTTTCTTTTTCTAAGGACCTGATCAATAAGAGCGATATGATTCATAAGCATTCAACATTGAGGGCATTTTGGTAATCTATGAGGATGAATTACAGGGGTCTACGTTGAAGAATGTAATAATAATGTGATTAGGTTTTCACCTTATCCAATTATCACTTAACATTTAATGTACTTGTACTCGAATACTCATGTTGTGCTAAATTAATAACGACTTATGGATCATTTCTAGTCCAAAATTTTCCATATATACTAAAGTAGTATAAGTCCCGTGTAAATGCACGGTTTTTACAAAATTTTATTACGAATTACAACACTTAGTTATTACTATAATAATTAATTTTAAAAATGAATTACATTACTAAACATAATAAAATAACTTCATTATATACAATACTTTAACAATAAAACTAAGGTCAATACCCGTGCGATACACTTTTAATCCCACACTTTGATAGGCACATGGGTAATTTACTTGATTATTTGTTTCAATTTTAGTGAATGGTGGAGAATTTATTTTTTGTTTTATAAGTACAGCTATACTATTGTTATGATTATAGTCAATGGGTATTTTTATCTAATATTCCTATAATATTAAACAAAAAAAATACATAGTTAATTAGTTATGTATAAATATATAATTTGATTAATTATTTAGGATTGCATATTTGTATCATATTTACAAAAAATGAGGTGCAATGTTAATAAAAGTATAGATTCTTTACAATTTCATTGATTTTACTTTTCACCGAAATTGTTGATGGGTTTATTCTTGAAAATAAAAAACAAAGTACAACATAGGTATATAATTAGACAGAAAAGATTAATTTAAAGTCATACGGAATATTACTACTTTAATACCCAATAAAAATGGTAAAAAAAAGATATGAAAATATATATTGATATAACATATATGGAAGAAATTTGATGTCAAATATAGAAGTTAATATTTGACAAAAAAAAAAAAAAAAAAAAAAAAAAAAAAAAAAAAAACATTTAGACAAAAAAATTTGTAATTAGATTATGACACGTGTCATCTCAAAGTTCGTCTTTAGTATAAAGTTATTATTATATGTAGATTGTTAAGCACTTAACTGTCAACAATATGCACAATCCAGGTTTTTAAGTGATTCACTTATTCTATAATTCAACCTGGGTTTATTAGCCTAGAGTTGTCATAGCTCTTAAATTCGGACTAAAGTGCAAAGCAATAAAAACATATAAAAAAATCTTATTTAATATTTATTTTGTACTCAATACAAAAGAATACTAGAATGATAATTGATAATAGGCTGGGTCAGGAAGCCCATGACATGCCTCATCTATCATAAATGTCCAGGTCTGGCCCAACTAGATAAGTCCATTTTGATATTATATGGTATTAGTGTTACTTGTTTCGGGGCATTCGGGCCAACAAACAATTTTGGCACCCTTATATGGTTCTATTTTTTTTTTTTTTTTTGACAGGAAATAGGATTTCATTGATAAAATTTAGCCAAACGGCACTTTACAATGCAAATAATTTTTAAGAAATCCAAACTCCCAACACAAAAATATATCACCATAAAACAAAATACATTGTAGATTCGATCAACAATAGCCTTAATAAAAAACTTCTTCCGAAGCAATACAATCTGTGAGTTAGCACTAATTTGGCTTAAGATCCATTGATGCATAGTCGTATGGATGAAAATACCTGTGTGGTACTCTAGATACTTCAAAAGATTATAAAACCCTAAATCTTCATTCCCTACCGGACGAACAATCGCAGAAATTAATCTTCCAAGTAAACTGCAACTACCCAATTCTAATCTTCCATGAGAGAAAAAAAAAACATACTCCAAACTCCCACAAATGGAGAGAACAAACCCAAAAATTGGGAACAAAATTCTCATAAAGAGAGAAAGGAGGATTATTAATAACTAAACGATTAAAAACTAAGGAATCAAAGAAAATTTTGGGGCTTACCATCATCATTTTGATGATGACAACCCCTTGCAACTGGAGAAAGAGTTAGGGGTTTTAGGGTTTTTAACTTCTATCATGGTTCTATGATTTTATTTGGACTGCTTGTGAAAACACCATATAGAATATCTCAAGGTTGAATTTTGAAATAGAGAATGCATTAACCTAATCGTATGGAGTCGTTTAGCAACTCTTATAAGAATCATAATTTGAAGATAGCTTAATTCAAGAATGTAAAGCCCATTACATTAAACTATCATTCTTATATATATTAGTTATCTAGTGGTAGTAGAAAAATATGTTGCCTACCACAATGGACGTCGAAGTATAACTTGTACTACCTTCGTTTCATATTAGTTGCAACTTTGGAATATTTATATCTTACAAATAATACCTCAAAGTTGCAACTAATATGAAACGGAGGTAGTAAAAATAATCCTAAACTTATCTAGTGCATTAAATGAGAAGTTTGGTTAGGTCGACTGCAGAGTCAATGGAAGTTTCAAAGAAGCCATTAATAGTCTTTTGGCTTTCTGCTAGCGTTTCCAAAATGTCTATGGTGAATTTAATAGGGTTATTATAGACTTCCTCTTACCCCAAATCCATCTCAAATTCAAGTATAGGAAGATTAGTCAATTAATTTCCATTTTGCAATTTATAACATACTATTCTTATCGTTAAATTAGAATTATTGTTGAGCCTTAAGGAGTTTTGATGATGATAAAAAAGCAAACTTCAACTAATGCGATTTCTCTAAGTGTTGAATTAGTACATGTGAAGTTGACTTAAGGAGTGGAAGAGGAATCTGACTATGAAAATCCAAGGAGAAATAAAGGAAAGACAAAGAGAATAGAAGAAGAGTTCCTCATTGGAACTAGAAGTGATCCCTAACAGGAACACAGAGAGAAGTTCCCTAATGCAAGCTATGAAGACTAGCTTGGACTGTGTTGAAGACAACAAGTTCCCAAAGAACTTGGTCTGTGAGTTCCAGCAAGGAGCTAGAGGAATGAAGACATCAGGAGTTGAGTCCAGGTCTGCGAAGAGCCAAGTTCCTAATGCAATCTACGAAGTTTGAGAAAGCAATTCAGCAATAGACTAAAAGTCTTTTTTATAAGGTTTTGTTAAGTTTATTCTTATAAGGATTGCTGTAAATATGTGTTGGCTAATTATGCATGAGATATATTAGAAACGTGACAAAGCTTGGCAAGTTAAGTAAAATCGGAAAGTTTATAAAAGATAAGTTTTAATTTATGGAAAACATTTTTGAGGAATATAATTTTATCTTATAAAATCCAGTTTACATAATATTTATCTTATTCTAAATTATATCTTTGTTCGATTTTATAAAATGGCAGTTTTGATACTTATCTTTGTGAAAACCCTACTTTACATACGAGTGTTTCTTGTATATAAAAGCGTGATTATATTTGATATAATTTGAGAGTTTATGCGTGAAAATCAGAACAGTGCTTAAGAGTAAGTTTGCCAAGTTTAAAAGCTTTGTCATATTAGTTTCGGGTTTCATTTGTAGCTTTCCAATCTCTTATTAGAGTCAAACGTTTGTATTGTTTTGGGATTTGGGTGAGTGATTTATCATTGCATACAGTTTGTAGGCTTCTAGCGTGAAGTTGAATTTGAGTACTCCTGAGAGTGCCGAGTGAACTTA